GATATTTTGATGGCAGTGGGAGCAGTATGTGGGCTTAGAGACGGCGCTGTGGAGCACTGTGGGATACTGTATCCAGCGTACTTACAGTCTGGGAACTGCTGAGTGGACGGCACTATTGTGGCAAGGAGCTGAGCATCATTACACATCAGTCTCACATTCCTCTGCCTGTAAAGTTTGTTCTGTGATATTTGCTCACTGTGAGACATCCAGCAAGGCCCACTGTAAGCAGGTCCACAAAGGTAACACCTGCATCCCTCTGTCCCTCGCTGAACACTGCTGTCCCCCACCCCAATATACACATTAAACACACAAACCCTCCCAGTCTAAGACCGACAGAGCTTTGCATTATGCAGTCTCTAAGCTTTAAATAATGTACAGCAACTGTAACTAAAGGTGCAGTCACATTTACCACTGTTCAGCGAATTTTCATAGGTGAAAGCTAGTCATTTCAATAAGTATCCACATGATCTGGAATTCCTTGAGAGGGTGAAAGGTTTCCTCTCACAGTGGGTTCAAGTTGGATCACATGGATTTGCCATGTTGACCAGCAGAAAGCTGCTTGGTTTGAAAGTGACTTCTGTGTGAGCTGTGCTTCATACAGCCATGCTACACTACTGAAAATAGAAAATGGATCTTTTTGCCCATTAAATTTTGCTAATGTGACCACACCTTAAGCCATTCGTAGGTTGATTTTCAAAGAGTATAAAAACTGTGGTTGTGTGGGTTTTTTTTTCAATATTGCTTTTGTATTAGTGGCTCAACATTGACTCAACCAATGGTGTGATTTCAGGTCGGGGCAATATGTCTGACTCAACCTCAAACATGTAAGACTGGAGTTTGGAGTGTTTGGGAATTTTTGCAGATCCCTTTGGTGTCACTAGTGCAGAAATCGTTGATTGTCTAATTGATCCATGATAGGCCAATGGCAATCAAGTGAAATGTGAAAATTTCACAATTTCAGAATCAGATCAAACAGGGTATTACTATTGTCAATTAAAAGAGTGGAAATGTTTTTTGTCTTTGTCCCAACAGCCAACTGCAGGTTACTTTATTCTAGAACAAGGGTGTCCAATCCTGCTCGTGGAGGGCCAATGTCCTGCAGAGTGAGTCTGAAGACCTTGATTAACTGGTTTTAGGTTTATTTATTTGGGGTTGGAGCTAAACCTTGCAGGACAGTGGCCCTCCAGGAACAGGTTTGGACACCCCTGCTCTAGAATGAGCATTAACTGGGCTAGCCTGTAAATACAAATTTTACCATTGATTTTAGATTTTATTTCTGATTTTAAATATGTTATTGGATCATAAACTTTGATCAACAGTCTTCCCCCATCCAAACAGATAAGAGCTGCACTTGCAAGACTAGAAATAGATTCCCGGGTGGTTACAAATATGGCCGCAAAGTAACTGACTTGGGGACTTTGGTGGAAAGCAGCAGGAGAGGAGAGGTTTACATGGGTATCATGATGTAAATGAGGACATCGGTCCTCTTGAAGGATCATAAGGCCTTTGATACAAAATACAGTATAAGGCCATATAGAAAAGAGGATGGAGCTCTGCTTCTGTGAGCCAGATGTTTGTATTGTTTCTGGATGGAGGACACATTTCGCACAGCAGCACTGATGGCCCAAGTTCCTCAGCAGCAGGGAGGCATGTCTGTTTAGAGAAAGAAAGGGCTTTTTTGAGTGGAATCTCCCATCCTCATTGGCCTCTTGTCTTTAAATATTCTCATCCATACTGTTTCATGTATTTGTTTGTTCAGTGGGATCAAAAGGAACATGCATGGCTGCTATGCTGCATGAGTTTCCAAACAGGCCGTGTGAAAGGTGAGGAACGGGGACGGCAAGGACCAGGCATGGACGAGGCACATGTGATAACCATAAAGAGAAGATGCAACATTAGAAATAGTCCTTCCACAGCACTTAAAACTCAAGGCCTTTGAAGAAGATGGGACAGATAGACTGGATATAAATATGGGGAGGAAGAGGGAGGAAAGAATCCCAAACAGAAAAAATGCCTTTGTTCACCACGTCAGACATGACAACACACTGTGGCTACAAAGTCCTACAGTTAAACACATGAAACTAACGCCAGACTTTCTCGGGGCAATCAAATACCCGACAGCTGACTCAACTAACCACATCCTGCTCCGTCATATCAGAATCCACTGCTGCACCAGACAGGAGTGATACCACTGTGACTGCACATCTCACATCTTCTTCTCTGCAGAAGCACATCATACTGAAATGAAGTCTGGCTTATCTGACCTGATCAACATATACAATGAATTCATTGCAATTATAAAATCTACTAATTTACCTATCTCCTCTTTTTGCTTTAATGGCACTAGCACTCTAGCTACATGAACCGCACAAGTTTGTATAAAACTTGATGAACTTGTTCTCCACTGCCTGTGCAAGGAGTCACATGATCTAATGTCACTTTGCTTAGTTCATTAGTGATCTAGAAATAATAAATATCTCTTTTATATCATAATGTTTCTTTGATTCATTTTTGAAAATTCTAAAACTTTATTTGCAGCTTTCATTGAAAAAAAATGTATACGCCTATATAGGTTGTACGCCTCACTTTAAAGGACATGTGAGCATCAGAAACTTAGATGCACTGTTATTTTAGTATCATTGAGATACTATTATAGTTTTTATTAATATTTTGAATCAGATTTTACTTTATATTTTCCATTTTCATTTTAATTTGTCAGATTTCTAGTAGTTTTGTTGTGTTTTTTCCTCATTTTTAGTAGTTTTTTATGTCCATATTAATTTTAATTTCAGTTTTAGTTATTTTAGTACATCAAGTTAAACTACATTAAATTGAGAAATGTTGCCTTTGCAGCTAGATGAATAAAAGTTTTATAATATTTTATTTTATTTCAGTTACTTTTATTTTATTTCAATTAACAGTTTTAATTTTAGTTTCAGTTTTAGTTTACTATAATAACCCTGCACTGCAATATGCTCAGAAAATGCAGTGATTATATGCTCTATATATAATCACTGTAAACATCCCACTGACCTTTTCACACTAAACATATAGCAGCATGAGTAGGTAATGCATCGTTTGATACTTTTCATGCTTATCACGTACATAAAATACCAACACCATTTTTGCATAAATAATAAATTAATAATGTAGGGCACACCAATATTTTTGACATCAAAACAAGTTTTCAGGTGAAACTGCCCACATCTATGCAGTCTGCTCTGGGTTATGGTGTAGACATATATATTACATTTGTACAATAACAAATTTGGCCAACTGCCCAAGAGGAATTTGAATCTACTGGAGTTGGTCAGTAAGCACTCATTCACCTATATCTCAAGTCAACGTAAAACTGTTTCACAGCAAACCGACATGGGTCACATGCAAACTTAAACATGACATGACAGTCTGCTGGAGAATTTCTTTCCTTGACTATTCCATATATGTGAGTCAGGTAACTAAACCTGAGCAATGATTTTAACATAATAGAGCATTCTAAAGACAAAAGAGTTGGGAAAGCAATTAAAATGGCTATAATAGAAAAACAGAGTATCATGGGAAGTGTTGTGCAGGGTGCGAACTACGGGGGAGCTAGGGGGAGCTCGGCTCCCCTTAATAAGACATGGGCTCCCCTGAAAACGGGATTTGTGAAATTTTGGGGGGTCTCAAAAAATATTGACAATGTGTTATTTTGACGTGCAATTTCAGTTTTGTGTAATGTGATCATCGTGGATTATTATGTGTAAAATTGCAAAAATATCATTCATCCATGCATGACGGCGATTTAAACCTAATTCACTTCAATAAAGATAACTATACATGCTATTCTTGTCATGAGCATCAAGGTGTGGGGGCGCTGCGGTGCAAATTCCACTCATGTTTAGTACATGTTAACCCAAAGATTCGTAGAAAAAATATAAACGCTGGACTCTGTGGTCGATTAGTCCACGGTATAGTTCGAACACTGGTGTTGTGGATTGTAACACCATCAGTTGAAGCTATTAGAGGGGGTGAAATCACTGTCACACATGACCACCACGCTCCTGAGGTGACAACTAATGTATTACTTTGTTCAAGTTAATGGATGTCAATTGACAGAACTACATTTTCATTATTTATTTATTTAGTCATTTAGCAGACGCTTTTATCCAACTTTATTTTTAACTACATCATTTGAATCAGCAAGTGTGTGTGTTTTATTTGAAATATAACCAAAATCCGTTGAAAAAAAGGACAAGGAGGGTTGTAACACAATTCCCAATGTATTTCTAATGGAAAGATTGCGCAGACGCTGTATAGACCTACATTTCACACAATGAAGAGACTGAGCATCAAACGCTAAAATTGTTCACATGAAAAGAGGGTGGAGTTAGGTAGGGTCGAGATGGGGATGGCAAACATTTTTGAGCATGTAAATTTGATTATCACGAAAAACTGAAGACCGAAAACTCCCAAACTCAGTTTAAAAAGCAGGTTTCATTATAAGAAAAGATTCCAAATCTACATAAATTGTTTTAAATAAGCTGTAATCTATGGTTAAATACTAAACACAGCTGCAAAGCACCGAATAAATCACGGAAAAATAAACATGCAGTCTAAACTAAAGTAAAGTGTGTTGGAAACCGGCCTTTTAGGAAACTTAAAAGGGTATGTGGCTGTCAGTCATCCTTAAACTCAATGAACAAGTTCAAACCGGCGGTACATATTCAACATTTATCTCAAGCTTCCTCCACATTAATGAGAGCTCGTTATAAAACGATTAAGGTAAAAAAAAATTAAAAAAAATCCAAGTGACACGCGACATTCCCGCAAATTCACACGATAACAAAACATTTTGAGCAACTTCTCTAAAACACGGGTTATTGACTCGCAGCCGCATCTGTAACAAGTTCACAGGAAATAAGTATGTGCTAACTTAAGCTTTAAAATTCTGAAAATGTTAAGAACAAAAAAGCACTGTTAAAAACTATTGTTTTAAGTTTAAATGTAGGCTACTTTACCTGCATGCGTCGTTGTGCACAGAGAGAGAAGCAGCGGCACTATCGCGCAGAGCGCAGTCTCCTTCAGCCGCCTCATGTTCAGGACCCGTTACCTCAAGCGCTTTATCACACAACCAGGAGATTATGACTGAGAAAGCCCAGAAGCCATAAGCGTACAGAGAGAGAGAGAGGCAAGTGCTGCTGCGGTCCAGGTCTAGTTTTTCTTTGAGTATCCTCCTCTCCTCCAAGACCGCTAAGCTTTGTCCCTCTCATTCAGTTTCTGCCTCCTCTCACTCCTTTCCAAACTTTCTCCCCCGTCCCCTCCTCTCCCTCCAATGATGCGTTTATCTCCAGAGTCCGGTGCTAAACGGTGCCTCCAGAGGACACGTGTCAGAAATTGGATGTGTTGTGACGTTGCTGTAATATATATATATATATATATATATATATAACAGCAACGTCACACACATCCATATATATATATATAATGTAGCATGTAAAATACATAATGAAAGCACATCATAAACTAGCCTAAGCTGATTTACTGGTCTAAGGCTGGCCTGAAGACTGAAGACTAGTTTTGGAGGCGTTTTGGGCACTTTTCAGCTAGTCAGAATTAAAGACTTTCTTAAAACCAGCCAAGCTAAGATCAATATGTACTCAATATTTACTCAAAATTCGAAAGAATATATACATACATACATATATACATACATTACATATATGAATGAATGAACGATTGATTGAATAACACATAGGTGATGAAGCCTTGAACTTCATCGTAGTAAAAGAATGAGAACTTGAACACCTTTGGTCAGTTAATGAAGTGTAGTGGGAACAGTGGAAAGGTTATCTGCTGATCTCTCTCCTCTCAGACTAACAATGCACCCCCAGCAACTTCTGCAACAAGATCATGACTCCATGATTACTCACAAGGTGGACGGTGGCCCCAGGCCCCTCCAAATGACACTAGTATTTATCTTAACACATCATTAGATTACATAGTGTTTGATTATCTGTCCATTATTAACTCTCCTGTTTAACATATCAAAATTTATTCAACATGGCAGATCATGTCTTATGACATTGTGCTTTTTTGCATGCCAAGGCTGAGATGCTTTGTATATAAAAAAGGGAAATCCCACCAGGGCCTACTTTCCATATACTTTTTATATTGCCTGTAAATTTTGCAGGGCCACTGAAGCACTTTGGCCAGAAATTCTGCTGCGGCTTTGGTTTGGACTTGCAGACTGACAAGCCTTTACGAGATAGATTCCTCTAATTGACAATAATTAATGGAGCTGACATCACCATAACCCAGTCCCAGGCTATGACAGACCTTTGTGGATGAGCCAGCGCTCATAAAGTTTGAAGAGAAATAGAAGAAAGTAGGAAAAGTGATGCTCTTGATCCTCCTTGGGAAAAACACAGAAAACAAGATTGAGGGAAGCGTGGGACACACTATGAAACGTAACAAGCTCTCTTTTCTTCATTCTCTCTCAGTTGTATCCTGCATCCCCCTCACAGCATGAACTTGTACATATTTGTCATAGGAAATGCTTGTTGCTCTCAGGTCACTTTGCATGTGTATCTCTGATTAATACAAATGATTCATGTTGAATATTATAAACGTCCATCAACATTGTTTGGCTTCTGAGGAACCTAACAAAATTAAAACCTCCATGCAGTACAAAGAGATTAATGTTTAGTGAAAAAGAGCCTTTCTCAGATTCATAAAGACAATCTGTGATAATCCGCCCTGTGGGTGTGAAGATAAACATGGGACGGATTTGGGATGCGCACAAAGGGAACAAAAGACATAAGAGCCTCTGAGATATTCAGATATCTTTACAGATCTCAGCTGATCTTCTGCGCAAACTCTGTACTCTCACACACACTTTCACCTCAATTTAGTCAGGCTCTCATAAGTTAGACCTGCATTCCTTGTGGTTTTAGCAGATATAGTTACTAAGAATGAAGTTGGACATTTAAGCTGAAAGTGAGAAATTCCAAATTCTATCAGTGAGTTTCAGTCAGACTGATTCGGACGCTGGACAGTCTTGAGATGGATATTCTCAGAGTATCCATCTCCACTCCATCCTTATTCTCTTTCTATACCGAAGCCTCATGCCCATTCAAACTGATGCACATGCCCCCTCAGATTTTGCACCGTGTATTCTGAATGCTACATCCAAAAAAAAAAAAAGATTTATCTTTGACAATTAATTTTGCATGGTTACTGGTGATGCAGAAAGGGTTTGTCTAAAAGCAGAAAGCACCCATTCACATGTCAAAATTTGGTCTGTCCAATCCAGTCACGTATATTTTGCTTTAAACTGAGAAGTCTGTCATCATCTACTCTCAAGTTGCTCAAAGGTCATATTATTTTAATGCAAAAGTTGCTCTTTTCCATACAATGAAAAGGCAAGTAGCTCACTGGCTGTCAATCATGGCTGGTAAGCAAGCAAGCAAATAAGCGCTTGTAGTGTACTTTAAATCTTAAAAGTATATTTTAAAAAAAAAACTGTACTTCCATATAAAATGTGCAATTTATAATGTCAAATTAAAAGTTTTACTTTTACTACATTTTAAATCATTGTTTTTTAATATTTTATCACACTTTAAAGAAATACACTTATTTTAACTAACATACAAAAGCACGTGTAAAATATAATTTTAATTATAGTGTGTTATTTGATATTACATTTAAAGTTAATACATTTTTAAATGTACTAATTTGCAACTACATTACAAATTTTGATTACAAATATTTTTAAATACATGATATACAAGTTTCAGTAGAAATTACATTGAAGTATATTTTAGATTAGCTAAATGTTTGCCGGTACAATCGGCAGTGCACTTTAAACATATTTCAAAGACAATACAAATAATTATTAAATTAAAGATGTACTCACTGTAAGTCCTACTTAAGGGGGTCAAAACAATTCTAAAGTTCAGCAAAATGTATTTTCATTTAATTGCAATTAACATGCAATTAAGTGAAAATGTTGCATTCAGTTCACACTGAATTCTTTCTGTAATACTCCTTTTGAAATTATTATAACGTTTACTTCTTTTTTTACAAGGTGCATATTGAATACTGATGTTCTTCTACCACTTTTCTTTCCTTTTGGTTTTAAAGAACTCAGTGAAATAAACTTTACTTCACTCATTTTCATATGAGACCCACTCCACTGGACAAAATCAGTCTCTGAATTTGAGAAAGAACTCAGCTCTGACGAGGAAAATCACTTTACATACCCAATCCCTATTCACTGTCCAAACAAACATCTTAAGAAAGTTTCTAATTTCTAAGGAGCACGTATATGTAACAATGACTTTGAAATTGCTGTTTATATAAATGCATTACTCATGTAGTAATTCTCTGGAAGCTGAAAGTCATCAAAACCAATGTCTCTTCAAGCCATATGTTAGGGATTAAGTTGTGAAAGACCTTGCTGAGAGTAAGAGTGTTGATCAACACATAATTCATGCACTGAAGGCCTGTGCTACTCTCATTTCAAAAATAGAGAGTTTTGCATTTATATTTATTGTTTATATTTATAGGCTTCATGTTGCATTTGGCACTTTGTGTTTGCATAAATCATTGAAATGTGACCACCTCTTTTGTCTGCCTGGGTTCATGGAACATATGGCACACCACACAGTTACATTAAAGCACATCTGTGACTTGACACAAATCAGTCTCATGTAGCAGTTCAGAAACTTACAGCAGATATAAGAGCTGGCAGGGAATGAAACCATTCGAGATTTCCTTGAAGAGGAACAACAGACCAGCCACCCATAGAGTGTGATAAAGAATCTCAGAGGTCTCCATGTTGACTGCACTGCTCCGTCTTTCTATGTCTTGAGGTCATATCAGTGACATATGTCTGACGGGCACTTGAGTAAAGTGCTTTTGCGTATCTGCAGCATTCATCTACACTCGACTCTTCCTGTGGAGTCTCCATGAGTTAGTGATGGGACAGATTGGAGACTTTCATTTCAGGGAACCTCAGATAAGAGAATAACTTATGGAATGACGCAGGTGAGATACTGCTGCCATGTGAGCCGGGAATGACAATATAGAGATTAATATAATCATTAATTACAGAAAGAAAAAGTGATCCGAACATCTTGGAATAACAACTGTTTTCTTTTATGCTTCACAAAAGTGGAACATGCTGGGACAGGACAGCAATCTGTCCAAAAGAGAAAAAAAATGCATCTGATGTTTCAAAGTAATGAAGTGACTGAGTCTCCACTGCTGCCAAAACATAATTTGAGGGATTTCGAAGAGAAAAAATGTCTTTGATATTAATCTTTTCTCAATGGGAGTCTTTTCACCCGTTGAGAACTTAATCCTGTTATATAATTCACTGCACTCAGATGTAAACGGTAATACATGTTTGTATTATCATAGAATGTATTGGCAAATTTCATTAATTAAATTATAAGTCCAAACAAATATGGCGACCATAAAGATTTTGATTAATAAATGAAGAAATTAGTCATGAAAATACAGACGTCCTGAATCATATAACTTCACAAAATCTAAAACATCCTGAAACACCAATGCATCAGTCAAGATGACTTTTAAACAACTTTGTGAAAAAGAAGCATGTTTAATTGTAGTGCATGTACGCTTTAAAGTATTTTTAAAATCTTAAAAAGTATATTTTATGAATCTTTTGTCATATACATTAAAGAAGTACACTTATGTGTTGACTATCATACTAAAGTACATGTAAAATACATGATTATAATTCTAACTGTAGTGTGTTATTTGATATTATGTTTAAAGTTAATATATTTTAAATGTACTAAATTGCAACTTCATCATTACAAACATGCAATTACTCATATACTTAAATACATGACAATAGAAATTACATTAAAGTATATTTTAGTTTAGCATAAATGCTCATCAGTATATTCAGCAGTACACTTTAATCATATTTCAAAGACAATAGAAGTAATTATCAAATTCCATATAAAGACGGAACACTCCACTAATTGCATTTAATATAAATTTAAACTATAATACACTTTTGCAATTAACATGCAATGAAGTGTCTGAAAACATTACATTCACTATGCACGTAAG